AAGCTTCAATGGCCAACATGAGGAACGAGTATGTGCAAATGACGAAAAACCTGCTGCGAATACCAGAGGTTTGTGAATCGTAAGATATTGAATTTTTGTTTTTTTCAAGCGATTGAGATGTATTTTCGGGGATGAATAATAGATCTAGAGCTTTTGAAGCCATTAAAAATTGCATCACATGCTTCCTTAACCACAGTCATCACAAGAATAGCATTTCAGCTTGTGGAGGAAAAGAAAGGCCGCGGAGGTGGTGGAGGCCGCCGGAGAAAAGGCGAGGCTGGAGACGAGTTCGTCAACGATAGCTCCGATATGGGAAGTTGGCATGGAGGAGAAGGTGGTGAAGAAGGTGGCGAAAGGCGAAAGAAAGATGTGATTACTATTATTGATCAACCAGATGTGCTTTTTGCTTGAAGCAGTTTCATTCAGAAATCTGCTAAAAAGGCCTCAAGAAAACGAAGAGAGAGACGAGCGGCCAATGCTGGAAGTGGATCTGAAAATGAAGAGGAAGCACGTGAGCGACGACGAAGAAAGAAGGAGGCTGCACAAAGAAAGGCTGAAGCGAAGCTGTCGCAGAAGCAGCAGTCGAAGAGTGAGTCAATTTGGTGGTTTCCCAAACTTCTTTAAAAGATAAGCTCGAAGAAGCAATGTTTTTTTTTTGTTTTTTTTCCTTTCACTGAAATCTTCATTGTTCCAGTCAAAAGTCGTGCATTCTTATCGTCCGACGACGACTCATCCGATGGTGCACCAGTTCGTGCACCTGAGGATGCAGGTGAAGACAGTCCAAGGCCACCGAGAATCACAGATTCAGAAGACTCTGATGATAGCGCACCTCGCCATCGGCGGAAAAAGGTTGGTGTCACCTCTGTTCCTTTTTGGAATTTATTAAATTTAACATTATCTTAATCATTATCTCAATTGTTGCACATGGCCCTACAAAACTAAATAATTCTTCTTCTTTTGCGCTCTTTTTTTTTTCGGAATTGCCACTTCATAATATTGTTTCATGTAATAATATGAAAATGTTTATTGAAAAGTCTACCCATGTTCCGTGCAGTCGTGCATTTGATTGGTTTAGCAAGGTCCTATGTTTTGATTCTAGACATATTCGAATGATATTCTTTATATGAAACTGTTACTCGAGAAATTCCGTAACAAGTTTTTATTGGCTGTAAATAAAATTCCGCTACTGCTACTCTTGTTATGTCATTTGTAAATATTTTCTGCTATTGAAGATATTGCGATACTATATTCACCGTTAGGATAATCATATTTAGTTTGTTTCACCCCACCATAATTCAGTAATTTCATTGTTGCTA